AACAAAGAATATAATTGAAAGTAGAATGAGTCGTATAATTGATCAGAGTTAAAGTCATTCACCAACTATTTACAGTTAGGATATAAATAAAGATTGTACAAATTTATTTTAATGACAAAGATTATTATAAAGTTCTGCAGAGTCAACAATCTATGTGATTTGTATGACATCATATTGGCGAGCTAGTCTATCCAAAGTGTCAATTATTCAGTTTTAACTAGTGAGAACTTATTACTGGGCTTTAATTTACAGAATATTTTTAGTCACGTTTTTAATGTCTTGATGGAAATTACTTACTTACGCCCGTTACTCCTAATGGAGGATAGACCGCCGTTTAGCATTTTCCAACCCATTCTGTCCTGGGCCTTCCTTTATAGTTCTATCCAATTGTTGTTCATCCTTATAATGTCTGTCTCCATTTCTCGGCGTAATGTGTTCTTTGGTCTTACTCTCCTCCCTTGGCCTTGAGTATTCCAAGTGAGGGCTTGCCTTGTGAAACAGTTGGAAGTTTCCTCACTGTGTGTTCTATTCACTTCCAGAGCTTCTTCCTGATTTCTTCCTCTACTGAAATCTGGTTTGTTTTCTTCCACAGTAGGTTGTTGATAAAAATAGTACTATGCAAATACTAATATTTTTAGCTCTCAATAAACAATTATAAAATTCATGCTTCTTTAAGAAATTTGATTTCGATGAAATCTATCCAAATTAACCATTTGCAATAATCGAACCCATATTCTGTATCACAAGTAGGATTTTGTTTTATGAAACTAGTTGGTATACCTAATTAATTTAATCAGTGAGTATATGTGTGAAATAGAGTAATATTTATATTCGTTGGTTGATTCATAGATTGAATTGGTGAATAAATCCGAAATATTTAGCAAGTTCGTTGCAAATTCATTTACATTAGTATTCATTGAAAATAATTGGCATATATATTCAAGTAAATAAATAAATAAAGTTGAATTTTCTCGAATAACCATTTGACTAAACTGAATCTAATTAACTTGACAGTTATTTTTAAGAAAAGACTTAATTACACACTAAATCAAATTTAAATATTTAACGGTTGAATTCCTTTTGACAATTCCAATTATAATCACCGTTGTGGTTCATTGATTAGCATAGTTTCCTCTCTTCTTTTCTTTAAAGTTAAGATGTTTATGCTGAATTATTGGGTAGAGTGGGGGGTAGGGATGGCATTGTCTTCACAAGAATAGTCATATAGGTGTACAGTGAATCATTATGGTGTTATCTTCTCTGTATGGTAGTGGTTCCGCTATATTTACTCACATGGAAATGTCTAAAAACAACGTAAATTAGTTGAAACCTGTTATTTAAATAAGCAAAAGCTAAATTGATAAAACATACATTTATATTAGACTGAAATAATTCTATTTATTGGTTAGCACTGTTCAATGCTTGTTGTCATTACAATCGTCAGGATGAAGTTTAGCTGAGATTTTTAGTTTATTGTGGTAAGTAAAAGTAATGTAACCGAGTTCATTAAATGAATTAAGTCCTCAAAACTGTCCAGTACGTACTCTAGTAGGTACAAATGGATCAGCACTCAAGTAAGAGTGAATACAGTGAACGCACCTGAGGACATTTTATAATGATTTTGAATAGGCGCGTAAAAATAGGAAAAACAAGTATAATTTAGTACAGACACCACATTTGTATCAAAAGCTGACATCAATTAGAAAACCATTGAAAACCGGATAGACTGAACAATTGTTTCGTCTTAACAATGTACACCCACAACCTTTAGAAGTTAAGTTATTTGAATAGATTGAGATAGCATCTAAAAATTGGTGAAAATTATAATTTCTACTTATCATGGAAAATCGACATCGTTCGATACTGTAATGCATGATAGTTATTTTGTATAAATGTAAGTAGTAGACGAGATTTTCGAGAATTTAGTATTTCTATTGGTTACTATGTCTTGGCATACTGTGCCTACTAGTGTGAGGAAAACAAATCACGCCATATTTATTTGAGACAACTCAAATATATAATCATGACTATAAAAAATGATCTAAACAGGTTTTTAGTGAAGCTATGAATGAAGTACGGATACTAGCTACCAGTCAGTGAATAATGTCGTGCTATTTATTTTTAAATGATAACAGAAACCAATGACTCATTTTGTATTGTTTGTTTGAATCTTCCTATTGATGTTCAGGACTGAATTTAATCAGTCTCGTATTGTTATATGTGTATTCTGTGAGTATTGGCCTGATATTGCCCTAAGTCAAAAGCAATCTAAGCAAAGACGGATGGTAGCTAGCAGTGAAACCCAGTAATATTTGGGACTCGTCAACTGGATGTATCTGCATCCCAGAGTTGATGTTCACTCTGGGACTCCAACTCAGTACCATCCACCTCAAACGCCATCACTTTATCCACTTAGCTGCTGAGTCCTGATGGTCACTAGCTTGTGCGATGGGAAGATTCAAACAAGCAATACAAAATGAACCCAAACTTCACTCCATCGCACAAGCTAGTGACCATCAGGACTCAGTAGCTATGTAGATGTTGGGGATGGTACAGTTTGAGTCCCGGAGTGAACATCAACTCGGGGATGCAGATGCATCCAGCTGACGAGTCTCAAATATGACTATGTTCCACTGCTATCCTCCATCTCTTTGTCTAGAGATCAATAGCATCTATCTTTTAGTTACAGATGATGAAGATTTAGCAGGAGTCTCCTGTCTGTTTTGCACTAGCACCAATAGACGCTCTCATTCAAACTATAACAGTGAATAATAATTGCCTAGTCGGATTATTATGATAATGTCTTCTGATCAGGTAAAATGTTACTTAAGTGCCGGTCATATTTCATGTAATTTATGATATAATTTACGAAATTTTCAGTGTAGCCATTCTAATGAATGTCAGATTTGACTAATGTGTGTCTATTTCGGACAAATACTAAAAAAGTAAAAACAAATTAAAAGAAATTCACTGGTTAAAGGGGGTATTTATGGAGAACGAAACAGACCAATTTAGGTGGACAAAATATTTAAGTGAGAGATATGAAGACTGTAAGAATAGTGGAAGCCTAAGGCTAATGTCAATCTCTTTTGATGATGGAAACAGAATATGTTCCATCTCTTGTGTTTTCCACTCTCAGACTCACTGTATGGTTGATTACCAACTAAGTGTAAGTTTGGAAAATCATTTGCTTACAGGGTTCTGTCAAGATATTTAGGGTGGAAAGGGTCGTGAAACTGCGAATCAGCTAACCACCCTGATGTCTGAGAACTTCTAGGAATATTAAAAAATATAGAGACTTATATAGGGTGTGTTGATATATGCTGAGAATTATTTGACGATGTAAAAATAACCTTCCCCTAGTTTTTGTAAAGTAATGTGGCCTCAGAATGACTATTTATTAAACAGACTAGTTTGTTCTATGAATATTGTTGTACAGACGATTTTACGGAAAAAACACCTGATTTGTTTTAACTATTACCAGAACTCAATCGAAAAGTGTCATAGATACTTGATAGCGAGTGAATAGATAGCCGAGATTTGTTCAAGCCATAAATTGTTACAAATCTTTAATTCCTAATAAATATTAACCGTTGACCGCTTGTGTCAAAAGTAATCTTTTTATTTTATACTTTGGCAAAACTGTAACAATATTTCATACTGGTCCAAAGATGAAGTTGTATGTAAATACACATTGTGTCCCTTAATGGTTTGGAATGTGGGGATGAATATCTTCGAAATACATAATAACGGTTATCTATCCAGTCTCATGAGTTGTACAACCCGACATGTGGTTTTTAAAAGGTATGGCCACAATAATACAACTTTTAACGTATCGATAACATTAAGCATTAATAAAAATAAAATGTTATGTACAAGGTAAATAAAAAACAACCAGGCCTATGATAGATATCAAATATTCATTTCTTTCCCATAATATCATAATTCTCATGGAGGCGGTAAACTTACTGAAATTATTAATAGTTTTGACTGTTCTATACCTGCGTTCAACACACTACTTAAAATTGTTAATGTTGACCTACTGTAAAATGAATCAGTACTTTATACTTCAAGATTATTCAAAGTATTTGAGAACAGTTTCTCTGATTGACTATAAAAAACTGAAAGTAATTTTCAGTATGGGGTTGTGGAGATTATTAAGTTTTTGATTGAGATCATGAACCGATATGATGTTAAACCACCATTGAAAACCTGGAAGCACTGGACGGCCGTTTCGTCCCATTGTGAAACTCCTCGGCAGTGCGCATCCACGATCCCGCTCACGGGATTTGAGTTCAGGATCTTTGGTCTCGCGCGCGAACGCCTAACCTCTAAACCACTGAGCCGGCATCTAACGGTAATTTCGTTGACTATAAATAACTTTAAACCAATTAAATAAACTTATGAAATAAACACATCAGTAAATATTTACGACTAGTTTATTTTGAATATTTCATTAAAATCAATATGGGAAAGATATGAGGTAGATAACACGAAATTACAATCAACAGAACAGATAAATTTATGTCTAGCAATAGAATCCAGGCGGAGTGTTTCGTCCGGTTTGGGACTGATTATCTGGATCTACTTAAGTTCCTGATGTTCACGAACCCATTATCGTTCTCTTCAACCTCCCAACGCACTGACTACTTAGCCACTGAGTTCAGATAATCGATCACTTATGCAACAGGCATAATACCCTTTATAATAATCATACAAATAGTTTGCAGTCAACCTAGATACAAAGGTGGCAAGTTTATCTGTTGAGTCAACCAAACTCCACTTACACAATAATCACAACAAAAAAGAAATTATCGAAAAGTTCATAATTTTTTTATTTACTGAGGTTAAAAATCTACATTGTATTCATCTTATCATAAGCAACACCAATAACAAACTTACTTTGTTCAACCCTATAAATAGGCACATACATACAAACAAACATTTCTATACGAGCGAAGAATACAAAAACGAATTCATTCACCGAATTTATCCAATCATTTTAGAGTAGAAAAAAAACAAACAATGGCAATACACTTAATCATAGCTACAATTCATTGTGAACCTACATTGAAACTCTCCGAATTCCAAAATCATATGACGAGTTTCAACTCTTCTAGAAGAATAAGTATTCACAATACAGTTAACAGTCAAATCAAAGAAGAAATCATTTCAGCATAACTATTATTTACTAACTTATCAGTTGATATAAATGAAATATAATCTATACTTTACTCAATTAATTTTTATTTTACAGACTATAATTATTCTTTTCAACAAAATTTATATCATATTTGGCAATGAATCAAAATCAATGATGTCTGGTTTATTTAAGACTAATAATGAAGTTATTAATAACATAAGTTTATCATCATCATCGTCACAGTATCCCAGATCTGATTATGCAAAACTGCCTTCTAATGATAATTTTATAAATTTTCGTCAATCTAAACAATCATTGAAGATGAATACTATGAATAATAAATTAACCAATTGTCAACTGCAGTTGGAATGTTCTACTGAAATGGAAAATATTGATAATAAACAAATGTCAATAATGAATTTTTCAACTACTCATATTACTGGTCGTATACGTATACCTGTTCGTAGTGGAAGAGGACCAGCTGGACCACCTGGTCCACAGGGACCTCCAGGACCACAGGGTGCAAGAGGATTTCGAGGACCACCTGGCGAACCAGGTAGTTTACAAGGTAAATAGCGTGTTGTATGAGAAGTAATAAATGATTCACTTATGAACCAGAATATAGATCAATGTTTATTTCTGAGTATGCACAGAGGTTGTATATCATTTTTATACTAAAAGATATAGTGGTTTTGAAGAGATTATTTAATTTCCCGAAAAACGTTCAGCCTAATTCTATGGACACAATGTTTAGATCATGATGCTACAAAAATATCTGTGACATAAAAGTAGCCGAAAAAATTTACTGATCATTGTGAACTGATTATTAGCGATCTATCGATGACTGTTCACATAAACCAAGGTAATGCTACAAAATGACAAACTGCCACATGACGGCAGAATAACTGCGATTTAGTATAATGTTTCAGTGAGTAATTCATTTATATGCAAATTAGCGTACAAATAAGTGTGGTTAGAAATTATTGAGAGTAAAGTAGTATGACATACAAAAGTATCAGAACAAGATAATTCAAATTGAAAATTTCATTTATTTTGTTCACCACTGTTTAGTTCAAATATCTTTCAGTTTGAAATATTGTAGTTGTGTCAGTGAAATGGACTCTTTTAAGTTGAAAGATTTTTTTTGAACTAATCAATTTGGCAGATCAAAGTTCTTTATAATGTGGTGTGTGCTGTTGATGTCAACAGATTTAAGTAGTATGTATCACCAATCGAAAGTAAAATACCTGGAGGCAGATTGTTAAGAAGCTCGAGCAAAAGAGAATGTGAACAGCGAATGACTGGTGTGGAAACAAAAGAACAATGAAGTCTGAGACGATTGATTGATATTTTGTAAATGAATTATTTACGGTTCTCAGATTCTACTAAAACATTCTGTAATTTCGTGTTCAAATACATTTGGTTGTCCCCGCTTGTGTTCTTGTTCACTACAATAATTTTTTGTATTGAACTTGAACACAATTCGCAAAATTTCAGTATAGCATTTTTATTTAAGTGAGTTTTTTGGTATAGTTTAGATATTACCAACGTTATCGACAATATAATTTTCACAGATTTAAATCATGAGTCAGTTGAAGCTAGACCACCATTGAAAACCTGGAAGCACTGGACGGCCGTTTCGTCCTAGTATGGGACTCCTCAGCAGTGCGCATCCACGACCCCGCATCCCGCGGGATTCGAACCCAGGACCTACTGGCTTCGCGCGCGAGCACTTAACCATTAGATCACTGAGCCGGCATATAATTCTTTGACTGTTAAAACGTGATAATTCGTCTTTTTCTATAAGGTCACTTTCAATTCAAATGTAAACACGAAAAAGCGTACATTGAAAAATTAGACTACTGATTCAAAATTAGATAACACACATTGTGTGTACATTTTTAAGTAAACTCTCATTATGAGATTGAATAATCCTTCTTCATATTGTGTTAAAGCGAGTGCAACTTAGAGATTTGAATTGTTTGTGGGTTTTGTTAATCTGACTTAACATTTACCATTATTCACTTTAATTTAGGCAAGTGATATTATCCATGATCTAAAAAATCGTTCATCTCCCTACCAAAGAATGAGTATATCAAGAGGCAGCTCATTATACCTCACTTTATAACTGTGAAGCGTTAGTTTTGTTAAGTGGAGATATGAATAACTTGTAAGTAACCAGTCATAACACTTGAATGTTATAGAATGATTTAGTGCGTAATAATGAATGTAGTTATAGATTAGTATTTAGCTAAATAAACTCGGTTGATAAAGATGAGTGTTCATCGACTGACGTAGTTAGGATCAAGCCACTATGTAGTCGAATATATAATCCTTTTAGGCACAAAAGTAGGAAAGATAAGATAAATGAACGCACAAATTTTCCTTATCAGGGTCGTTTGCTTATAGCCATTTTATACAGTTATTAAACGAGAATGGGTATATTTTCTCGATTTTTCTTATGAATAGAGAAATTGAGGTAGAGTTTTCCACTGACATCAAACTAAGTTTATTATGAAATTAATAATCTGCTGGTAAATTAAATTGTTTCCTATTCCAAATAGAAGTATAAACTGAACTAGGCTTATGTTTTACGATAGCTAAAGCTTGATAAAATAGAGAAAATAAATCACTTCAGTACCCTATGATATTAATATGTCGTAAAAAGGTTTTCTAACTATTGTCTAGGGTTCCTTTGCCTTTGTTGAACACAATACAAAATATATTAGTAAGGCAGTATCAAGAATTACTTAAAATAGTTTTGAGAGGAAAATTAATATAAGCACATTTTGGTGATCTCGCATTCTATGATACGAGTCGTTTAGTAATAAAGCCTTCATGACCGTTTTTAATATCATCATCTCAGATGCTGACTTCTGTTCAACGTAATCACAGATGATATTCATAACGATAATGAAAGATTATAAAACAAATTATTCAGCCTAGAAAATGTAATGTCATCGGAAACATTTACCAGAGACAAATAACATCTGTTAATAAATCGATTATGTAGATATAACTCCCATGATGCACAAATGTTTTAATGGAATAGATTCATTTACATTTTATATTCAGTGTTTTAATTAGCTAAATGTACACTTCATAAGTGTAGCTTCTCAGTCTCTTCTTTCATATCATACGTAAACATAAAGAATCATTCATATAAATGGTAGTAAATTCGTGTAAGTGGTTTCTTTTCAAAATGTAGAACTATTTTTACCGGATAAAAATGGAAATTAAGTTAATAATAATCTCATTATTATTTTCGTTGAAATCAATTTACTGAAGGAACGAGTTGTATATACTGAATTTTAATTTAGATTTTGGTTGCATGTCTTTTAAAATTTGGCATTTGTTTCTCCTGGAAAAAAAATCACCAAGTACATTTGACAAGTAAATAAAGGCAGAAATATCCTCGAATTTTATAGATAGGGCTTATATAACAATTTAAAAGAGTGTCTGTAGTTTGTTGAACAGTAATTTTCAGTGGTGATCTATCAGCAATCGGTTCATGGTCTCAATCAAAAACTTAATAATCTCTATAACCCTATACTGATAATCACCACGTGCTCGCTAGTGACTAGCTTCCTGAGGGAATTCTAGGAGTTCTAGTGAGAAGCCGTGACCAGTGGAGCTAATCCGTGTCGGGTAGAGATAAATATCTCAGTCAAAAACTTAGTAAACTCCACAAATTATACTGATAATTTTTAATAGATTATGATTATAATAAATAGCTATAAAAGTGTTACTGTAGTGCATTATCCAAATCAATTTTAGAAAAGGTTGTAATGTGCACGCTTTAAGAAACAGTAAATATTTTATTATCATAACATATTACTGTGATGTCTTTTAAAAGATTACTAATATTGTCCAGTTTTCGGTGATGATAAGTTATTTTTATAGCAGGTCAGTGATGTAACTACATATCTAAGCTGATCAACATTATAATTTAATTTGTTCAGGATTGAATAGTTTGAATTATAAGGTATTACCCTTTTAATTAAAGTTAATATGAAACGATATTTATCAGCATAGCTTATGTTTAAACTTGGGAAAGCTGATATTTCTTTAAACAGACATATTTGTATTATTTCGTATGAAAGCTACTATTTTTGACCATAGTGTTTAGTTATAAGGGTTATTTTCACCAAAAATGACATGACTTTATTCTGACATACAAATGAGATGATTATCATCGAAATCTAACCTACTTATAAATGTTCTTAAACGATTTCTCAAAAAATTTACTATTGAACGTTAAAGATAATCAAATTTTATGAATCATTAAACTTTTTAAGGTACTACCGTATCTTGATATACATAAAGATGAATGGTGGCTAGCAGTGGAATACAGGACGCACGTTTCATCCTATTTGAGACTTGTTAGTTGGATGTACCTGATCACTTGTAATCCTAAACAACAATGAGAAGGTATAAGCAAGCAATACCAAGTGAATATATATATGTATTTCGAAAACATCTGTTAACATAGTGTAGTACTATTAAAAAAAACAATCAACTATTTTAGTAATATAGAGTATCACCTACTTTGTATGCAGAAGTTATCAAAATGTTTCGTGTAATTAATATTTCAGTTTCAGTCTTCAATAGTCAATCGTAAACATTAATCCCTATCAATTCAAGTTACATTATATCATATCAGTGATAAGAAATTAGTATGATACTACCATTTTTGAAACTTATTTTTAATCTTTGGACTCATTTATTATTTAACAAAATAGTTATTTCTTTCTAATTATATAAGTATTTATTTAATTTACATGAATGAGAAAAATAGACTACTGAAAATAACAACATTTCAGTAGTTATCATCTACATTGAAATTATTTATAGTAGTAACGAAGTTAAAGCATAAAGTCATATAAGTTCAAATGTCAATAGTGATTATTTTTTTGTAAAATAAATCAAATGTTATTCATTTTGTTTTATTTAATTTAACTACTTAAATGACAGATGTTTATCAGTATTATATACGTTGTTTATTTGAATATCTTATCAAGATATCTAAATTTTTTGTATATATATATGTATAGGGGTATAAAGTTATCAAAATAGAAAATACGAAAAAGTAAATGCGACATAGTAAAACAAAATTGAAATAAAGAATTTAATGTCAGTAGAATAAGAAATCGGTTAATTTCAACTAGTCTCCTTATTGAAAGAAATCAGAACATAATTTCTATAGATAGAAAAATAAAGTATATATATATATAATCTCTCGTAAAAAAGATAGAAAGGGTAAAGTTAATTGGATAGTTTAAAACTAAAGAGAGTCAGCATAAAAGAAAAAAATCTTTTGGTTTCCTTTTATAAAATTTATTGTCAAATAGCATTTCATTCAATTATTTGTACTCATTGCTTTATCTGTATAATACTTGCGTGTTTTCTGAACATTTCTGTTCAAATTTATCAAGATAAGAAGGGCGAGAGAGAGAGGGAATGAATGAATGAATGAATTACCAAAAAACATCAAGAAGAACAGAAAAAATATATAGGCAAACTGTCTTTACATTATTACAAAAATAGGGTGGATGAATAGATGGAAAG